AAAACTGGCATTCCCAGTTTTTAAATATTTAGCTCTAGTTCTAGCATTTACTGAGAAATATCTACTAAATGTCATGTAATTGAACTGTGTGTATGTGTGGGGGGGTGGGGGACAGAGACAAGACAATACTCAGAACAAAGTGACTTTAAGGTCCATTATGTGTCACAACTTGCCACTTGTATTAAACTACAATAGACTCCACATCTTCCTCTCATCCCTAGCAAGTGATCAGGATGAGAAGGTGTTTCTCAGGGGAAAAGCTATCAAGAAAAGAAATTAAAGTAGCCATCAACCTATGCTTTTCAATAGTATACAACTTGAGAAAATGCCTTAACTATTAATTCGCACAACTGATCAATAACCAGGATCTGTCAGAGAAAGTCTATTAATTTCACATTTATTTCTGAATTATCAGTAGTTCATATTCCTCATCTGACCCCCTACACTGAATTTTAAAGTAACAATAGGACATAAAACTTAAATATCAACACAAGAAATCTTAAACAAGTGTTTGAGCTACCAGACATTGGAGAGAATTTAAGATGCTGCTTAACATTTACGCAAATACTTACTTAATAGCGGTAGTCATACTCTGTGCTTGCTGTTGAGTGCCATTATTGATTGTGTTGGTGTTTTTCAGCTGGTTCATCTGTTGCTGAGTCTGTGTCCCCCCACCTCCAGGGCCCCCACTTGGTTTTACAGGGCCTCTCAGCTGCCCATTCTGACTGGATAGACCCATTATAACAGGGTTCTCTGTTCTGGCCGTGCTCATGTTTTTCTTTGTAAAGATGTCTTTTTAGACTTCAAAACTTTGAAAGTCAGTACAGAAACTGTAATAACAGTTTATTAGACTCTCCAAAATGAAGAGATAAATAAGTCTTGCTCAATATATGAGTCCTTTATTGCAATGCAGGCAAGCACCTGTAAGTCACTCAACAGTAAAGTAGTAACTTGCTCTGATGCACCGTGGAACAACTTTTTTTTTTTTTTAAAAAAGCCCTCTAACAAAGTTGAATTATATCTGAATTCACTCACTTCAGTCTGAAAAAGATGCAGAAAAAAAACAATTAATACATGGACTGAATGTGTAAAAATATATCATTACTATTATTACAAACTACTTTGATACTTGAACCGAAGCACTACCAGAACAAGCATCCAAATCCTCAGTACTTTAAACAAAGGCACCCAAAAGATCAAGTGTCACAAATAAACCAAAAATTAACTTCCCTACTTAAAACTGAGCACACAACTATAATTTTATGGCATCATGTGGAACTCTATAAAAATGTGTACTTTTAACATCTTTTATGTAATGAAGTGCTTTACAAATATTAACTACACCCCAGGAACATAAGTATGAGTCACAGAGATTATTTCACCCAAGCTTGAAGTGCAGCCACCTCTGGGGCAGAACACAGCAGCTGTTTACCACCACAAAGCAATGCTACACATCAATTAAGGACAGGAGATGAAGAATACCACTGTATTATAATTTATAGGGAAAATTGGGGGTGGAGGGCACTATGCAATTACTTTAATATCTCAATTGGAGGAAAAGGGGGAGAGAAGAGCACACTAATACGGTAAGCAAGATGAAAATCATCTGAAGTAATCTGAAAAACACTGGAAATCTGAAAGTTATAAATTCTATTTCTATTTAAGTAGAGGTTTAATTTTAACAGCTGGTTTAACAGGTAAGATGTACAATTTAAACAATAAAACTTCAATTTCAAATAGTGAAACCAAGTCCTTCACTCTCAGTGAATCAAAACAGCTTCCTGTTTTATTACATTCACAAAACCTAAAAAAAAAAATTTACTCACAGTGGTTACGTTTTCTAATTAGAGATGCAATTCAGATACAAATGTATCAAGAGAGATTTCCCCCTTAATTTTTTAATTGAGCTAACACCCTTTGAGTTACATTCAAAATAACTTTGTCACTGAAAAACCTGCCTGGTGCACTCAGAAAACAGATACATACAAAACAAATTTAAAGTTAGTGGTAGAGTATTGGAAAAGTAACTGTAACTAACTGTTTGGCAAACAAGATATCAAACACACACACTCTTTATAGAAAGCTACTAAAGTACAAAATTGTAAGATTAATTTGTTTGAAGTAACCCTAGAATTGTTACTAACAAGTAAACTCTACAGGCCTAGCAATAGCCTTTTCAAAAAAGGATTTACAGGCTTGACATATAGTAAGTATCACCACAAAGCAGCTGCATTTTACACAATAAATGCAAAACAAAGGCAGCATTAGTTGATTAATGCACTCTTATACCATACCCAGGTAAAATCCACCCATAGAATTCAAATACTAACATTCCTTAAAGGGACACCAATATCTAGTCATTTTCAAAAACAGTTAAAAGCAGTTTCAGGTACTACAACCTGCTTCTGAGTATTTCTGCCAACTTTTATGGTTTTATAAATCAAGTTTATATTTTTTTCAAACAGTCCCCTTTTCCTTTATTTGTTTCAAAGTAAAGACAGAGCAAATGACTTACTAAGGAAGGGAAACAATTAAAATTAGTATGTGAAGTACTGCCAACAGCACAAAGCAATCTTTTAAAACAAAAAACAAACAAAACAAAAAATACACACTTTCCTCCAATCTCTGGGTCAGTCATTTTAGATGGTACTCTTGTTATGAGTAGGTGAAATATTTTCAGACGGATGTCATTTTCAAGTACCTTTAATTTACAGGGACACTGCCATAGACCCAAAAATATTTTAAAGTGTTTTAATAAAAATATTTTCATTTTTAAAAAGTCAAGGGAAACATTATTTGGATTAAGACATTTCCCTTGTGTTACAACTCAAATATCGAAGCATATAGCTAGGACAGGAGAACAAAAAATATAAACAGCAGAGAAAGATACAGCAAGAGGTAAATTCAACTTTAAACTTTAATAATGTGTTGTTAGTACCCCACTTTCATTTTTATTTTACCTGGCAACGTGCCTTTAAATCTTAACCCACACCCACAGTAGGATTCCAAAACTTTAAAGTGTAATATGTAATAAAGTAAAACTATATTTAATAAATCTGAACAAACCTAAAATTCGGGGACAAGCAACACCACCAGTTCGAAAGCTAGTGCCCTCTACTAGTAAAGCTCACCACCCCCTATTCTAAGCATTTCCTTTCTTGATTTTGACCACGTATGCAGACTATGGAAGCCGCTGCCTACACATTTCCACTGCCCTTTCTGCAGTAAACATCCTCCTTTCCCCGAGGAACTTTGATTTTTGCCTAAAAAGAGCACACAATGCTACATGAACAATTACAAAATTAGGGGGCGCTTTTTAGGTGACCCCAGGAACCACGTCTTCATAGTCCTCTAAAGTCCTGAGGCCGTGAGCTGCTCCAGAACCGACCTACATTTCCTCTAACATAAGGACCTCACTACAGCTTCAATCAGTTTAGAAATTTCAACCATATTCTCATCCTTCTCCCCACCTCCCCCCAAAAAACTGAACGTTTCGTTTTCCGAAACAATGGAGCGCAGCAGCTTAAACACTTATTGCTTCACTCCCACATCGCCATGGGCCTCTGCCTGGGAGTGACAGGAGCTTTAGTGAGAGTGTCCGGAGCAGTTTCTGCAAAGCTTGGGGAAGGGGGCGATTTCACCAGGCAAAAACAGGGGCAGCCCGGCTCCACCACAACCGAGGGGCGCCCCGGTTTAACAACAGACGTACATAAGCCGCGTTTATTTGCGGCCGGAAAGGAACAGCCTGTAGGAACAGGCACAACCCTAAAAATGTATCTGCGCAACATCAGCGGGCACCCGACTCCGGCAACATCCGTCGGGGAAACAAAAGACCATCCCCGCCCCCTCTGGGCCCCAGACACCGAGGGGGGCGGTGCTCCCCAGATACACCAACCCCGCACGCCAGTGCAGGGTCCCCCAGCAGAAACACCAAGCTCCCCCGGCCCCCCTCAAGGTCAGGCTAACAGATACACGCCTCCCCCCACTTCACGGCCTCCCCCCCACACCCCGCACACCCCGCCGCTTCGCGAAGCGCCCGCTCGCCCCCAGTGCCCTAACACGCCTGCAGGGCCCCCCATGGGACACCGAACACGCCGACCCCAGGCGGGGGGGGGGCGGATGAGACCCAACAACTCCCTCCGCAGCGTAACCCCCCAGCTAGTCCGGAGTGGCCGCCCGCTAGGCCCGGCCCAGCCCAGGCCCGTCTCCAGAGCAGGCCGCAGGCCTCACTACAGCACAGGCCGATGCCCGCCCGCCCCCAAGCCCAGCCCCGAAGGCCGCTCCCCCAGCACCCTCCTCACCGCCGCCGCCGGCTGCGCTCCCCGCTCTCCCGGGTAAAAAAGTCCTCGCACTCGCCCGCTTGGTGCCTTGTTATGGCGATTCGACGCTCCAAGATGGCGGCTTCCTTCTTCCTCCCGTGTGCCCTCCCCCTCCCGGCCGGGTAGGCAAGCAGGCCCGGCCCCTCGGCCCGCCCCCGTTACCTCAGCGCTAGCCTCGCAGTGGCCTCCTGGGGGAGCCGGTGCGCCCCGCACCAGACGCCAGGTCTTCACCCCCTTACCCCACAGGCGGCGGCCCCACGCAGCCACGCCCCCCACCTCCCCCAGCTCCCACGCGGAGCCCCCCACGAACCCGCCGTCACCTGCTGTTAGGCGCTGCCAGGCTCTTCCTGCCTAGAGCCCGCTCCGCGAGAAGCCGTGTGTCCCGTTACCGCCTCGCCCCGCGGCGTGCGGGGGCGTCCGCCTCAGGCTTGTACCCACCTCACCCTCCCGCCTCAGCTCGGCCTCGGCCATTCCCACGCCACGCCACGCTCATCCGCGCTTCTTTTAAAGGGGACAGTCACAGCCTGCGTTCGGCATCTGCTGCTCCCTGCGGGCCTGCCCGAGGCCCGCCAGCTCCTCCTCCTCGCGTCACTTAAACCTCCGCTGCCCTGGACAACACGGGCTCCCTGCCTCCCTCCCGGGCCGGGGCCGGGGCCGGAGCCGGAGCTGCACCGCGCGGCGGGGGGCGCGCTGGGTTGTGCGCGGTTTCTTCGCGCACACGCGCCGCCATCTCCAGCCGCGAGGCTGGGCGCGCGATTTCTAATCGGCGTGAAACGCGGCTTCACGTGTAACTGAGGCGCCCCCGACACGCCGCGAGACAGCCGCCCCCTCCCCGCGAGGGCCGCGCGCCCTCTCACGTGGGCGGGTAAAAACCGCCGTAACCGAGTGTCAGGGAAGCGGGGCGAGAGGCGTGAGGGAGTTTCACGAGCAGGGAAGCGAGACTGTGCGGGTCGTAACAGCGCCCAGCCAGCCAGCCCCCTTCTGCTGCGTTCATTAATGAAGTACCGTTAAACGGCTGCTTTCAAGGAGTCCCCGCGGCTCTCCTCCCTCCCTCCCTCAGCGATTCTCAGCAATAAACCCAAGGAAACCCCAGTAAAACCAGTCCTGAGAGAGAGACTTTAAACAGCTGCCTTAACATTCATCCAAGACGAGGGAGCGAGTGGCCCTCCAGGTGAGACAGGGACTTGGTTGGTACACTTCTGAGTTAAGCGTCCCCCTACCTACCCCCTCTTCATTAATTTTCCTTGAAGTAATTCCACGTGCAGAAATAGAACAATGGCTTTTTTTTAATCATCCTTTCATCCAAATGCGAACTACTGTCGCTATTCCAACAGATTTAGAGCCAGATTTAGTGTGATTGTTTCCTCCGCGGTGATATAGTTTTAAAATTAGCGACTTTAAATATGAAAGCAGAGTTAAGTCTCATTTCTACACTGATAGTAATTATGAGATTGTGAAACTATTCCTGGCCAGCATGAAATAATTCTATTAAGGTAACTTTTAAAGTGAGTCAAATAGAAGTAAGAGTCAGACAACAAAACCATTGGTGACATTGGTTGAGACTACTTAGTACAGCAAGTTATTTTCTCAGTTATAAGGATCAGCTGACCAGGATTTTCCTTCTATCCTTAATTAGAAATGAACATTTGTAGCAACAAATATATTTGACAAAGGACAAAAATATTTCAGTTTTGCTGCCCCCACGCTATATTTAATCTCAGCTGGAAAAATATTGAGTGCTAATGGGGAAAAAATAATTTGGAAACTAAAGCTCACTGTTGAACATGAAGGAAAAATGAATTTTAAAAATTAGATTATTTAAAAGGAAAACTTGTCTTAATAGTACACTTAGTTGCAAAATAGAAAGAAAACAGTAATTTAGTAAGCAAAATAATTTGGATATATTCCCAAAGTATTTAAACTTAGTACTCAAGTTCCTATGTCCATCACTCTCCCTGCTTAATTTGTTATAACTATTGAAACCACTTTAGAATTCAAGGTTATTTTTATTTATTCTTACATCGGTCAGCACTTATAGCTGTTCTGATCTCAACACAAACTTTTTCTCCATGCCTTGTGCCTTCCTTTTATGCTCTCCCACTTAACCAATTAGCACTTTAATTACTTGGCTGCATTGTGGCTTTTAAACCATTAGTTACTAAGACACTAACACATCATTAGTCAATAAAGTACCAAAAAATTAACATTCAAACTATAAATGTTTAATTTTGTATGGCAGGACCAGGAAGAAACCTCTGAAGACATCCGGGAACACAGGAAAAGCAGATTTGTAAGTACTATCAGGGCCAAATTTAGGGCCAGGCGACAGCCGGGGCATCAGGCTTGGGGTGCTGTTTTTGTTAGTGACAAAAGGGAAAATAGAATGCTAGAAGTAAAATGTGTCAGGTATTCTGTATGTAGTTTCATTGTTCACTAACCTCCTAGAATGTTCTGGACCTTTGTAGAATCTCATCGAACCTTCTAGACTTTCAGACAACTACATTTTCCTTGAACCTCCTAGAATGTTGTCAGCCATGCCCTCTTGGGTATATAAGGGGCAGGGTGTCGCCGGTCAATCTTATATGACAGGGATCAATCATGCATGCAAATCGTGCATCAAACTCGTGAAATGGGCTACAAATGCAATAAAAAATAAGGTATTCAAAAGTTTAACAAATGGAGGTGGGAGGGAGGGCGCTGGAGACGTTTCTCGCCTGGGGCACCCTTTGGTCAAGGGCTGGCCTTGAGTACTATATCTGAAACTTTCACCCACAGAGCCTTGTATTTGATAAGGGTTGGTCTCAGGCATAAGTATGGTAGGTGCTGGAGGGCCTTGCAGTTCTATGCCAGTGATGTGCTGGAGGAAACTCTTTGGCATCAGAATAATAGAAAGGGGTCCCAAGTGCATGGAGAGTTGATTTTCCGGCTTCGGAGGGAGTCAGCCCCTCTCTGGATACTGCTAACGTATCCCTGCCAAGGATTATTTATTTCCATGTATTGTGTTCTGCTAATCAACATAGTATGTTTTTTCAGAAAGAAAATATGTTTCTAGCTAAATGCACTTCATACACATTTGATGCCCAGTAGTCCTGCCTTCTTCATGAACTTTATTTAAATGAGAACATAAATGGATTCACCAGTCTCTCACCAAGTCTGTCCATTAGCTCATCCTGGTACATGGGGGGGAAAAAATTGTGGGAATCCCTTGTTAAAATAATCAGTAGTATAGTGTTCTGTGCTGACTCCAGAATTCACAGGCCAGCTCAGCCTTTTCCTCTGGCAGTGAGGTTGGTGAGTCTGGAAAGCTTATGCTCAAATACATTTGTTAGTCTCTAAGGTGCCACAAGTACTCCTGTTCTTTTTACTGTTACACCAGCCAGTCTCTGGTGATGGAACAAGAAGGTGAAAATATCGCTTAACCTTTTTTTCTTTTTACCTAGGTCCTGCAGGCCAAAAGGCTAACCCTGTGTAGTAGATGTTGTCTGATGGAGGCTGGTAGCTGGGGTATTGATTAACTTAACTGTGAGAACTTCTGTGGATAATTCAGAGTGCAAGTGGGATGTACAGATGTAATAATTTGGGAATCTGTCAGTACAAATTTATGAATTCTGGATGATATTGTTATGAAAGATGCTGTATCATGAATGCCTAGATGTATGTGTATCCATCATGTCTTCCTAGCATGACAGCATGTCTTCCTCATACTGAGTACAGTAGGAAATACTTAAAGTTAATGACAATACTTTGGTCACAATATTATTCTAAAAAGTAAAAACTAGCTGCATCCTTGGGAGACCAGTTTTATTTTACCCCTCTGAAGGGAGTAGGGAAATAAAGGAGCAGAACAAAAAATGGCCAAGTGTCCAGGAGAGGTTTAATAAACACAGAGGAACCAGACAGGAAGAGGAAGTGTGGGGGTAGGAAAGAGTAAGGTGATCATGGAAGCTGGGCAACGACTTCATGAGGGAGAAACAACACAACAGGCAAAAAGTCTGCATGAGGCAGGGGACGCTCTGCCTGCCTTCCTGGCCGCAAATGGTCCCCCCGAGGACTCACAAATGAAGAGCTAGTGACGGATATTGCGGTTTAAGATGTTTATTGTTTTGTATGATCTGTACTCTGCTGTGTTTGAAGAGTATTAAGGTGTTAGTCTCTGTGGAGTGTGCTACGTTCTTCACAGTTACAGTGTATCCAGAGACAATTAAACCGTAACCAGAAGCTTTGCACCTTTGCAGTGTGAAGGAGGGAGAGGGTGTGTTTAAGCAACTGGGCTATCTTGGGGCTCAGCGCTTGTCCTGGGGGCCTAGGTCAGGTGGGCTGAAGAGCTCCATTTCTGTGAAGGGATAACTGAGAGTCAAAGAGATACCAGGGAGGACAAAGTTCTGCAGCCTGATGAGACCCAGCGAAGCTTAAAACACCCAGGAAGTCAGAGGCTTAGATTACCCTCACAGCTTGTGGTCTCTGGGGATCCAGTCACTTATGTGGGTTGCCCACCTATTGTCTTGCCTGTGGACTACATGACCTGCCCATCTCTGCTTTGCGTCATACATCGCCTGCACTACATCAGTCACCTCTGTATGCCTTCTGATCTCATTTGGTAAAATTCTTCTGCCAAACAGCCATACAAAGCAGAATAAACCAGGAAACTACCTTTAAAAAACAAAAAAAACCCTCTTATATAAGCACTAACTACTATCTAATAACACATCCATTAAATTCTCAACCCAACTAGTACATTTCCATAAACTATGATCCATATACCCAATGTATCCGCTACCTAGAGAGAAGCTACCAGCACATCGCTCTGGAGTGAGTCTTTAACTCTCACATTCCTCAAATACCCCTTCTCCAGGCAGGCTAGTAAGTCTCTGAGTCTTTCAGGACATTTAATCTCCCTCTCTGATCTTCTCAGTATCTCCCCCTTTCATTAGAGTCTGAGTTCTCTTGTTGCTTGTTTCTCCTTTGTCCATTGATAATAAACAAAGTAGTGCCAGAGTCCACATCGCCTGTCAATGTTTTTTAACTTTCTGGGATTACTCTTAGATTCCTTCGATTATGCCAATATTTGTCCCCTTGGTCTGTCTGGAGTACATAAATTCTTGGATGCAGCTGTTCTTTAACGGTATCCCGTTAGCCCCCAGTATTAGAGGTGTGAGTCCTCAGGCGCACTCTATCACCTGGGCTAAGAGATGGGAGATCACGGGCCCTTTTGTCAAAATAATATTTCTGCTTCCACTTCTGATTTTCTTTCATCTTCTGTATGATTTCATTGTCATGAGATTTCAGCACATTATCATTGATGGGATCTGATCTTTCTTCCCACTAACAGCTGAGCTGAAGAAGAGCCATTCTCTAGAGGTGTACTTCAGTAAACCAATAAAACTTTATGCAAATCACCCCCATTGTCAAAAGTCTTTTTCATAAGGTTCTTTACTGTTCATATAGACCTTTCCACAAATCCATTCAGTTGGGGGTAATTTGGACTTTTTGTGATTGAAAACTCCAATTTATGCCAAATTGGCTAAAATCTGCACTGGAGAATTGTGGCCCATTATTGCTAAAGACTTCATGTGGATTTCCATGTCTGGAAAATACTCCTTCATGCTGGCTACCACTGACTTACTACTAGTACTGTGTAGTGTGCAAATTTCTGAATACAGGGAATAATAATCTGTGACTATTAAATAATCCTGTGATTGCCAGTTAAATAAAGTCAGTGCCTACCTTCTCATAAAGCCTTTGTGGAAGTGGGTAAGGTCTCGGTGACTCTGCCCGCTGGCGTGGCTTGTATTTCAAGCATAAAAAGCAGTTTCCTACCATATTAGCAATGTTGTGATTGATCCACAGCCAATACATCACCTCTCATGCTCGTTGTTTGCACTTCTAAATCCCTAAACGACTTTGGATATTCGGTAGCACTTCTTTCTGGAGGCTCACTGGTATTACAACCTTGCTGCCCTTATAGTCACCCCATCTATCTCAGCAAATTCATGTCTGCAGTTCTAATAGTCTCTTATACTTGGACAGCAACTGCTTATTTCTTCAGGCCAGCTTTAATTATCACTTCTTTCAGGATCCCCAATAATTCCCCTCTCTCTTGTTTCCCCTCTTATTTGCTGTAATTTTTTGTTAGCTATGTGAATTGACTTTACAATCAGATCTACAAAGGCTTGCATCTCTATCTCTGAGGCCTTCTCTGGTTTCGTAACAGGAGTCACCACTTTGGAAAGTGCATCCACAATAAACATTAATTTACCAGGTGTGTAGGTCACAACCAAATCATACTTTTGCACCTTTGTCATCATTCTTTGAATCCTTTAAGGTACAGGCACTTGGCAGTTTGCCAAATAATGCTATCGGGCGCGTGGTCCGTTTCAACATCAGGCAAACTATTCCTAAAAGATCATTCTCAGTCGGTGCATATCTGGTTTCTGCATCAGTCAGTGGTTTGGATGTATATTCTACTGGTTGTCCGCAATCGTGTTTCTGTAAAATCACTGTGCCTAACCCAGATTGTGAAGCATATGCTGAAAATTTTAATATGCCTGTTTGGTGCGTACTACTTCAACACTGGCTTTTGTATCAGTTTTGGTATCAAACTTTCCCATGATTCCTCCTGTTCTGCAAACCAGTACCATTAATTTTTACTTTCTAGGAGTTTCCTGAATGCCACTGCTTTTGTAAATAGATTAGGTATGAATTTTCTAAGTTAATTAACCACTCTCAGGAACCCGGGGACATCTTTCGGTGAGATGTGGCAATTTCAGTGGCTGAAACCTTCCTCTTATCAGGTTTGACATCTTCGTTGGAAATAATATCTCCAGCGCAAGTCAGTTCTGTAACCTCTAAAATAAATTTTTCTCTATTTAGTTTCAAGTTTGCAGCTCTAGTTGCATTCAAGACTTTCTGAAGTCTACAATCATGCTCCTCTTTAGTTGAGCCCCAGATGACAATGTCATCCATTGAGTTGTCAACACCATTAAAGTGTTCATAGATCATGTGTATGATTTTTGTGGTACGCTTCTGGTGATGAAGCTATGCTGAAGGGTGGATGTAAGAATCGGTATCTTCCAAATGGGTATTAAATGTGCATAGTTTTGAGCCTTCTTCAATTAATTTTTGCTGCTAAAATGCTGAGGAGGCATCCAATTTACTGAACTATTGTGCATTCACAAATTGAGCCATAAGCTCTTCTCTGGTTGGCCATTTTAAATGTTTTCTTTGTATGGCCTTGTTGAGGTTTCTTGGATCTAAGCATATGCATAGCTGGCTGTTATTTTTCTCCACAATGACTAGGGAGCTCACCTATTCCGTTGGCTCCTAAATTTTGTGCATTGCTTGTGTTGCTTCTACCTTGCAAGCCCAGCCTTGAGTTTATCAGGGTGTGCAAATGGCACCTTTCTACATGGATGGATAACTGAAGGGACTTGCTTGTTTATCTGGATTGTATGTTCACTCTGCAAGCAACTCAACTCTTGAAACAGATCATGATATTCCCAAATGAGTGCCTCATAGTCAGGTTTAGTATGATCTTGTAGTAAGAACGCCTGTTTTACCAGTTTTTCACAAGCTGCCAAGCCTAAAATTCATGATACTTCCTTGGCTACTACAATGAACAGTAGCCTGTACATAATGTTCTTATATTAGATGCTTGCAGTGCATATCTCCTTCACTGGTATATTTGTTGCAGAATAACCAGTTACTTTTATTTTTGTCTTACTTTTAAGTTTTGGTCTTATTTTCAGTTTCTTATTAACCTGTGCTTCTGTGTCCAATTTGAGTGGAATAATTATTTCATCCACTTTCATTGGTAATATCCAGTCCCTCTCATCAGTCTTGCTTGATCCCAGCATGTCTACATAAAACTCCTCATCCAGCTTGTCTTCAACTGCGTGCATTTGACTTTTCTGCCTTTGGGATATACAGCATTTTGCAAAATTTATTTATTTATTTATTTCTTTATTTATTTTTGCACATTTATAACGGTTTCCCAAAGGCACAAAACTCTTTTGGGCCATGCTGCGATCCACACCTTCCACATAACTGTCTGTACCCAGTCTACCTGCAGTAGTGGTTTTCATAGTCAGTGGTTCCACTTTTTGATTTGACCTTTTCTGGCTATATTCTTTTTTTGTAGTTACTACGTGGATAGTCCCTGCTGGTGAAGTCAGCTCTTTGACTTGTGCTTTCACAGTTTCTTCTGCCCTGCATCTCTGGAAAGCTTTTTCTAAATTTAAATCTCCTTCATGGAGTAGTCCATTTCTTAGAATAATCTGTGGCATTAAAGTAGGGTTACCATACGTCTGGTTTTTCCCGGACATGTCCGGCTTTTTGGGATTCAAATTCCCGTCCGGGGGGAAATCCCAAAAAGCCGAACATGTCCAGGAAAATCCGGGCCGCTGAGCCGGGGGCTGGTCCGGGGCGCTGGGCGGCCGGGGTCCGGGCCCGCCGGCGGTGCTGGGCGGCTGGGGGGGGGGGGGGGCCCGGCGGGGCCGCACTGGGCCGCGGGCTGGGGATGGGCCGGGGGCCGGGGGTGCTCGGCCAGAGGCCGGCACGGGGCCAGCACCCCAGGGCCCGAGCCGAGCCAGGCTGGAGGGGCCGGGGCTGGGGCCGGCCGCCGGAGGGTGCCAGACTGGGCCGCGCCTCCTCCCTCTCCCCCCCCTCCCTGCTTCCTGCTTCAGGCTTCCCGCGAATCAAATGTTCGCGGGAAGCAGGGGAGGGGGCGGAGTTGGGGCGGGGACTTTGGAGGAGGGGGCGGAGTTGGGGCGGGGCCGGGGCCCCATGGAGTGTCCTCTTTTTGGACACTCCAAATATGGTAACCCTAATTAAAGACAATATGTTGTCTCTGACCAGAGAATCTGTCAGCTCACCAAAGTTACAGGTTTTACTGAGGCTTCTTAATTCTGTGACACATTGCTCTATGGTGTCATCAGTTTATTGCATGAATGTAAAAAAATGTCTCTCTCAAAGGTCTCATTCCTGTTTGTCATGCAATGTTCCTCAAATTTAGTCAGTATTTTATTTAACTTCATACCTTCCCCCTCATCAAACTTAAGGTGTGTGTGTGTGTGTGTGTGCAATGCCTCCTCCCTAGCAACATGGAAAAAGATTGATGATTTCACTTTATCATTTTGCTCCTTTGCCCCTGTGGCTGCTAAATACAATTAAAATCTCTGTTGG